AGGACTCAAGTCCGGCTAACCGGTTTCCCTAAATCTTTTCACTAAATATTACCCTGCTCACACTCCAACAGCTCGTCAGGTCCCAAAAGCCATTCGTTTCCATTTATTCCTATCTATCATACACACACATGCTTGCTGGAAGTCCAAGCCCCTCGCCCACAAAACCTCCTTTTCCCCCTCCCTCCAACCTTTTCAATGACGACCCCTACCCCTCCTTCCTTCCCCTACAGATTTATATGCTCTCCAAGTCATTCTACTTTGATCTATTCAATCTAAATGAGCAAACCACCTCAACAACCCCTCTTCAGCCCTCTGACTAATACTTTTAGTAGCTCCACACCTCCTCCTAATTTCCACACTCCGAATTTTCTGCATAATATTTATACTACACCACACATTGCCCTTAGACAGGACATCTCCACTGCATCCAGCTGCCTCCTTGCTGTAGCATTTACAACCCAAGCTTCACACCCATATAAGAATGTTGGTACCACTATACTTTCATACATTCCCTTCTTTGCCTCCATAGATAACATTTTTTGTCTCCACAGATACCTCAACGCACCACTCGCCTTTTTTCCTTCATCAATTCTATGGTTAACCTCATCCTTCATAAACCCATCTGCTGACAAGTCAATTCCCAAATATTTGAAAACATTCACTTCTTCCATACTCCCTCTCTCCAATGTGATATTCAGTTTTTCTTTATCTAAACTGTTTGATACCCTCATCACATTACTCTTATCTATGCTCACTTTCAAGTTTCTACCTTTACACACCCTCCCAAGCTCATTCGTTAACCTTTGCAACTTTTCCTTATCTTTTCTTACCATTATTAAATTTAGTTTAATTTTAAAAATTATTACTTTAATAATGTTTATTATGCTGTTTTATGAGGATTGTAGTCACACAGTCCCCTCATTCTATTTTTTGATGAGCCGCCACTGGCTAAAACTCTTTTTGGAAAGCTGCAACAGAATGCACAGACTCAAATACATCTTTGATATTGCACATGTTTGATTCAACCTAAGTAGCTACTCCATGTAATTTTTTTTTTATTATTATTAACACACTGGCCGTTTCCCACCAAGGCATGGTGGCCCGAAAAAGGAAAACTTTCATCGTCATTCACTCCATCACTGTCTTGCCAGAGGTGTGCTTACACTACAGTTATAAAACTGCAACATTAACATCCCTCCTTCAGAGTGCAGACACTGTACTTCCCATCTCCAGGACTCATGCAAATACAAGGCCCAAAAATATGGAACTGCCTGCCAGATGATTCTAGAAGTTCCCTAACTGCCTAGTACTTCAAAAATATTATTAATAAAATATCTCCCGAATTAGAGATAAATTTATGTAGATCTAATACAAATGTCAAATGTATCTAGTAACCCACTTCTACCAATTCAAATCAGCATTCATAGTCATACACATATTTTTTGTTTTAACACACTGGCCATCTTCCACTGAGGTAGTGTAACCCAATTTAGTAACATTTAGTAATTTATATAGAAGGGATTACCAGCCACTTCCTCCTCATACATGTGTTGTCAACACTATTTTCAACCCCAATAATTATTATAATTAAAAGTGATGACAGTACAATAGTGAATTACAGTGGAACCTTGGTTTTCATCATTAATTTGTTCCAGAAAGTCTGACAAAAACCAAATTCAGTGAAAACTGAAGCAATATTTCCCATAAGAAATACAGTGGACCCCCCGAGTTTCGTGATTAATCCGTTCCAGAGAGTTTGCCGACTGGTGAAATTCACGATTGGCAAATCTATTTTTCCCATCAGAAATAATGGAAACCCAATTAATCCGTTTCAGACAGCCAAAAGTATTAACAAAAAATAATTTTTTTAAAGATTAAATATAGATTTACATACAGAAAACAATGACAAATAAATATAAAGCACTAATAAAATGGATAAATGAACATTTAACATCACACTTAACCTTTATTGATTCTTGTTGGTGTAGGAGGTAGGTAGGAGGCAAGAGGAAGGCGAGTTTATTATGCTTCAATATGACGCTAATATCATCTCTACGGCTTATTTGTCTATCACAATTCATCTAATATGACATTATAAATAATATTAATAACATAGAAATGTGATATATATTCTAGAATGAATAAAATATGTCATAATGTATGAGAGGAGTAAATGGTGTAAGTGTTGTTGTTGGGTTTAAGGGCCGCCACTGAGAGAAGCTGTGTTGGTGGCGGTGGAGGCTTTGGCCACCACCATCACACTTAAACAATGTAATTTATAAATAAGAAATATTTACATTTTAATTTATAAATAAGAAATATTTACATTTTAATTTATAAATAAGAAATATTTACATTTTAATTTATAAATAAGAAATATTTACATTTTAATTTATAATAAAAATATTACATTTTAATTTATAAATAAGAAATATTTACATTTTAATTTATAATAAGAATATACATTTTAATTTATAAATAAGTAAGTTTATTCAGGTATACACAAATACAGTTACATACATAGATTATCATACATAGCATATGTGTAAAGTACCCAGGATAACCCAAAAAACTCAAGAGTGGCATATTTCCATTGGTGTCCTTTTATATTTACATTTATATTTATTTTTATACTTGCACTTTTATATTTACACTTGCCTTGGAGGAGATGTTAGTTTAATTAGTTAGTTTGATGAAGGAGATGTTGGCAGAGGTTTAGGGTGGTGGAAGATAGCAGGGCGGTGTATGTTCAGCGGTCCTATACACATCCAGCAACATTGGAGAGTTACTCTCATGTTGTTTTTTTGTTTACTCAGTTAACTTACTTGCTTCCCTGTTAATTCTACACTTTATAGCTGGCTGGAGCTATAGCCTTTATCGATACCTGCTGCTTTAGTATCATACATATTGCAGAATCACTGAATCACCAGTGATTCTGCAATATGTATGATACTGCAGACGGCACATTCTCCCCTCTCTCTTCCTCCTCTTCTTTAGTACTTTGCTATGAGTTTTTTCTCGAATTCTATCGTGTTTCTCACCTTCTTTACCAAAGGGCTGGCATTAGGAGCTTTCTTTTGGCCCATGGTGGCTTATTTAGCAGTTGCAAGCACAAAAAAACAATGAATTATTATGAAATGTGTTGTATGAACCCGTGGGGTGATGGTCACATGCTGGTAAACAATGGCGCACTGAGTGTGAGTAGTGCGGGAGACTGGCTTTGTGTGCGTGCCAAAGGGCAGATGCGTACCAGAAGGTTGCCGAATCATGAGTCCAATCACAAACCACGAAGCTAAATTTTGCCGAAAAACTTGCCAAAAGTTGGATTTCACGAAAGTCGCGGCCGCCGAACGGCGGGGGTCCACTGTAATGCAAATCCAATTTATCCATTCCAGACACCTAAAAGTATTAACAAAAAATACATTTTATAGAGAATAACTATAGCTTTACATACAATGAGAAATAAAGATACAGGGCTAACAAAATGGATAAATGAACACTTAACATCACTTTTACCTTTACTGAAGACTCTTGTTGGTGTATGGAAGACGGCGAGGAGGGGAGAGGGAGGAGAGGTTATTGTTTGTAAGGGGAATCCCCCTCCATAAGGACTTCAGGTATCAAGTCCCTATCCGGGATTACTTCCCTTCTTTGTCTTTTACTGGCACTAGGACCAGCTTGAAAGTCACTGCATCCCTGTCACACAAAAAAATCTGCCCAGAGAGGTCTGTTTCTGGCATCTCTTTAAGATTTGCCTAAAATGGAACAAGGCATTATCACTGAACATGTTGCAGACATGGCTTGCAACAGCTTTGTTAGGGTGATATTTCTCCACAAAACTTTGCAATTCACTCCCCTTTGCACACATATCCTTAATCACTGAAGAAGGCACATTCTCCCCTCTTTCTTCCTCCTCTTCCTCTGAAGCAATTCTATCATGTTTCTCGCCTTCTTTATCACTCAGAACTTTCTTTGGCCCCATGGTGGCTTATTTAGCCATCGCAATCAATAAACAAGCACAAAAAACAATGGATTATTACGAAACGTTTCATATGAAAACTCAGGGCAATGTTCACTCGACGAGAAACAAAGCCAGACTGACTCAGAACGTGTGCGTGGGATGCTTTGTGTGGGAGAAGGCAGGAGGCCATGTTCGGTACGGTGGACGAAAACGAAGGTCGTGAACGAAAACTAGGACCAAATTTTGACAAAAAGAGTCGTTGAAAACCGAATTCGACAAAAACCAGGGCAAACGAAACCTGAGGTTCCACTGTACTCGAGTATTTCTCTACATTATCATCAGTGCTTTAATATTTATAGCTGTCTTAATTAACCTTATCATTATGTTCAATTTTTTTAACATGCCAGCCATGTCAATTATATTAATACTTGGCATTAACGAGCTGCTGGAGTATGAGCAGGGTAATATTTTGTGAAGGGATTCAAGGAAACCAGTTAGCTGAACTTAAGTCGTGGAGGTGGGACGTACAATGTGTGCACTTTAAAGAAGGGGTTTGAGATATATGAACTATCATATCTGCACATCTCTGTAAGACAGTGATTATGTGTGAATTATGGTGAAGTGTTTCTTTCTTTTTTGGGTCACCCTGATTCGGTGGGAGAGCTAGAGTGTTGGGAAAAGAAAATTATCACACTTCAACCACATAACTGTATATTATTTATTATCACTATTACATTCATAGTGGAAGCACTAAACCTGTAAGGAAAAGGAGGGCATTCAGACTTGATTGAAAGAACTGGAAAACATGTTCAAGTCCTTAGATCAAGTGCCCCCTCACCAGCATAAAGGAACTTCCTTTGCAGAGGCAATTGTATAATATCAAGTCATTTAAATTCAGCTCTTCTGTCTAAAAACCTCTGAATAACCAGGGACTTTCAAAATGTATGAAATAATTTCCCATAACTATGTAACAATAATGTATATGTTGAAAACAATATTACTTCAAGTTAATTATTTACAAAAGAAGGAAAATATCTACCTGTTTTTCTAGCAAGTACACTGGGTGATTTGGATCTGTGCGTGGAGTTGTAATACAAGTGGGAGAAGATGCCAATACCGTGGGAATTATTTCACTCTCTCCTTGAAAACTACGACTGACTATGTAGTTGCCAGGAAACCAAACTTGTGCCCGCCACTGAAACACTCGCATAGCAACTTTCAGGTTCTTCAGCTCATTCATCAGAACTGGTTCCCTCTGTTAAAAGGCAAAATTATGATTATATTGCATCCACGTAATATGGATAGGAACTAAAAATAAGTGTTAGAAAGCCTGAAGATCAAACTTTTTGATGATTATTATAATGAAATATTGATGAGTGAAGATATACAGTTAACAATTATGCATGCACCAACATGCAGACACAGGAATCCCATAACAAAAAAAAAAAAAAAGTAATAAGAACCATTGTACTCCCCCCTCCCAACACACCAACACCCAAATCCACAAACACATTAGTGCCCAGTATATCATCAGAGACTAACATCTGATGAATAACCTCTGTAGCCATTGCTCATATGACAACTCTTAAGAGTAACCTCCAGGAATCTCAACAATGAGTCATTCTGGGCCCTTTATACAATATGTATCAAGCCCATCTTGGAGTATGTAGCATAAGTATGAAACCCACACCAGAAAAATATGCTAAGAAACTGTAGAAAGTTTAGAAGTATGCAAAAAGAGTTGTTAAAGAGCTAACGGGTATGAATTACAAGAAGTGGCTAGTTGAAATGAATCTGATGACATTGTAGGGCACAAGAACCAGGGAAGATATGATAACATACCAAATACTTAGGGAAACTGCTAGGATAGACAGAGGACAGCTACTTGAGAGGCAAGAAATAGATACTCAGGGATTATTTATTATTTTTTTTATTATCACACTGGCCGATTCCCACCAAGGCAGGGTGGCCCGAAAAAGAAAAACTTTCACCATCACTCACTCCATCACTGTCTTGCCAGAAGGGTGCTTTACACTGCAGTTTTTAAACTGCAACATTAACACCCCTCCTTCAGAGTGCAGGCACTGTACTTCCCATCTCCAGGACTCAAGTCCGGCCTGCCGGTTTCCCTGAACCCCTTCATAAATGTTACTTTGCTCACACTCCAACAGCATGTCAAGTATTAAAAACCATTTGTCTCCATTCAATCCTATCAAACACGCTCATGCATGCCTGCTGGAAGTCCAAGCCACTCGCACACAAAACTTCCTTTACCCCCTCCCTCCAACCTTTCCTAGGCCGACCCCTACCCCGCCTTCCTTCCACTACAGACTGATACACTCTTGAAGTCATTCTGTTTCGCTCCATTCTCTCTACATGTCCGAACCACCTCAACAACCCTTCCTCAGCCCTCTGGACAACAGTTTTGGTAATCCCGCACCTCCTCCTAACTTCCAAACTACAAATTCTCTGCATTATATTCACACCACACATTGCCCTCAGACATGACATCTCCACTGCCTCCAGCCTTCTTCTCGCTGTAATATTCATCACCCATGCTTCACACCCATATAAGAGCGTTGGTAAAACTATACTCTCATACATTCCCCTCTTTGCCTCCAAGGACAAAGTTCTTTGTCTCCACAAAACTCCTAAGTGCACCACTCACCCGTTTTCCCTCATCAATTCTATGATTCACCTCATCTTTCATAGACCCATCCGCTGACACGTCCACTCCCAAATATCTGAATACATTCACCTCCTCCATACTCTCTCCTTCCAATCTGATATCCAATCTTTCATCACCTAATATTTTTGTTATCCTCATAACCTTACTCTTTCCTGTATTCACTTTTAATTTTCTTCTTTTGCATACCCTACCAAATTCATCCACCAATCTCTGCAACTTCTCTTCAAAACTCCCAAAAGCACAGTGTCATCAGCAAAGAGCAACTGTGACAACTCCCACTTTATGTGTGATTCTTTATCTTTTAACTCCACGCCTCTTGCCAAGACCCTCGCATTTACTTCTCTTACAACCCCATCTATAAATATATTAAACAACCACGGTGACATCACACATCCTTGTCTAAGGCCTACTTTTACTGGGAAAAAAATTTCCCTCTTTCCTACATACTCTAACTTGAGTCTCACTATCCTCGTAAAAACTCTTCACTGCTTTCAGTAACCTACCTCCTATACCATACACCTGCAACATCTGCCACATTGCCCCCCCATCCACCTGTCATATGCCTTTTCCAAATCCATAAATGCCACAAAGACCTCTTTAGCCTTATCTAAATACTGTTCACTTATATGTTTCACTGTAAAACACCTGGTCCACACACCCCCTACCTTTCCTAAAGCCTCCTTGTTCATTTGCTATCCTATTCTCCGTCTTACTCTTAATTCTTTCAATAATAACTCTACCATACACTTTACCAGGTATACTCAACAGACTTATCCCCCTATAATTTTTGCACTCTCTTTTGTCCCCTTTGCCTTTATACAAAGGAACTATGCATGCTCTCTGCCAATCCCTAGGTACCTTACCCTCTTCCATACATTTATTAAATAATTGCACCAACCACTCCAAAACTATATCCTCACCTGCTTTTAACATTTCTATCTTTATCCCATCAATCACAGCTGCTTTACCCCTTTCATTTTACCTACTGCCTCACGAACTTTCCCCCACACTCACAACTGGCTCTTCCTCACTCCTACAAGATGTTATTCCTCCTTGCCCTATACACGAAATCACAGCTTCCCTATCTTCATCAACATTTAACAATTCCTCAAAATATTCCCTCCATCTTCCCAAACCTCTAACTCTCCATTTAATAACTCTCCTCTCCTAATTTTAACTGACAAATCCATTTGTTCTCTAGGCTTCCTTAACTTGTTAATCTCACTCCAAAACTTTTCTTATTTTCAACAAAATTTGTTGATAACATCTCACCCACTCTCTCATTTGCTCTCTTTTTACATTGCTTCACCACTCTCTTAACCTCTCTCTTTTTCTCCATATACTCTTCCCTCCTTGCATCACTTCTACTTTGTAAAACTTCTCATATGCTAACCTTTTCTCCCTTACTACTCTCTTTACATCATCATTCCACCAATCGCTCCTCTTCCCTCCCGCACCCACTTTCCTGTAACCACAAACTTCTGCTGAACACTCTAACACTACATTTTTAAACCTACCCCATACCTCTGCAACCCCATTGCCTATGCTCTCATTAGACCATCTATCCTCCAACAGCAGTTTATATCTTACCCTAACTGCCTCCTCTTTTAATTATAAACCTTCACCTCTCTCTTCCCTGATGCTTCTATTCTCCTTGTATCCCATCTACCTTTTACTCTCAGTGTAGCTACAACTAGAAAGTGATCTGATATATCTGTGGCCCCTCTATAAACATGTACATCCTGAAGTCTACTCAACAGTCTTTTATCTACCAATACATAATCCAACAAACTACTGTCATTTCGCCCTACATCATATCTTGTATACTACTTATTTATCCTCTTTTTCTTAAAATATGTATTATTATTATGGATTTAGAAAAGGCATATGATAGAGTGGATAGAGGAGCAATGTGGCAGATGTTGCAAGTATATGGAATAGGTGGTAAGTTACTAAATGCTGTAAAGAGCTTTTATGAGGATAGTGAGGCTCAGGTTAGGGTGTGTAGAAGAGAGGGAGAATATTTCCCAGTAAAAGTAGGTCTTAGACAGGGATGTGTAATGTCACCATGGTTGTTTAATATATTTATAGATGGGGTTGTAAAAGAAGTAAATGCTAGGGTGTTCGGGAGAGGGGTGGGATTAAATTATGGGGAATCAAATTCAAAATGGGAATTGACACAGTTACTTTTTGCTGATGATACTGTGCTTATGGGAGATTCTAAAGAAAAATTGCAAAGGTTAGTGGATGATTTTGAGAATGTGTGTAAAGGTAGAAAGTTGAAAGTGAACATAGAAAAGAGTAAGTGATGAGGGTATCAAATGATTTAGATAAAGAAAAATTGGATATCAAATTGGGGAGGAGGAGTATGGAAGAAGTGAATGTTTTCAGATACTTGGGAGTTGACGTGTCGGCGGATGGATTTATGAAGGATAAGGTTAATCATAGAATTGATGAGGGAAAAAAGGTGAGTGGTGCGTTGAGGTATATGTGGAGTCAAAAAAAACGTTATCTATGGAGGCAAAGAAGGGAATGTATGAAAGTATAGTAGTACCAACACTCTTATATGGATGTGAAGCTTGGTGGTAAATGCAGCAGCGAGGAGATGGTTGGAGGCAGTGGAGATGTCCTGTCTAAGGGCAATGTGTGGTGTAAATATTATGCAGAAAATTCGGAGAGTGGAAATTAGGAAAAGGTGTGGAGTTAATAAAAGCATTAGTCAGAGGGCAGAAGAGGGTTGTTGAGGTGGTTTGGTCATTTAGAGAGAATGGATCAAGTAGAATGACATGGAAAGCATATAAATCTATAGGGGAAGGAATAGGGGTAGGGGTCGTCCTCGAAAGGGTTGGAAATGGGGGGTAAAGGAGGTTTTGTGGGCGAGGGGCTTGGACTTCCAGCAAGCGTGCATGAGCGTGTTAGATAGGAGTGAATGGAGACGAATGATACTTGGGACCTGACGATCTGTTGGAGTGTGAGCAGGTAATATTTAGTGAAGGGATTCAGGGAAACCGGTTATTTTCATATAGTCGGACTTGAGTCCTGGAAATGGGAAGTACAATGCCTGCACTTTAAAGGAGGGGTTTGGGATATTGGCAGTTTGGAGGGATATGTTGTGTATCTTTATACATATATGCTTCTAAACTGTTGTATTCTGAGCACCTCTGCAAAAGCAGTGATAATGTGTGAGTGTGGTGAAAGTGTTGAATGATGATGAAAGTATTTTCTTTTTGGGGATTTTCTTTCTTTTTTGGGTCACCCTGCCTCGGTGGGAGACGACCGACTTGTTAAAAAAAAAAAAAAAAATGTATTACCTATAACTAAACCCCTAAATACTGAATAATTGTATCTCATAAATGTTTAACCTGTGACCCAATCAAACTTTGTTATTTTTAATTACATTACCTAACAGAATACTCCATTCTACTGAATGCACAGCAACACAGTAAATGACCATATGACCTATCTTTAAAATACTCATTTGTGCTTAATTGTTATCTGTTTACAATAATGTTTACCACTGAATATATCATTGTTTAGTTTAATCTTAAGTTAATTTTAAGCCTGCCCATAATGCTCTGCAAACAAGGGGCTTTGGCATGTTATACTTAACCAGTGTATTTTTTTTGTACTTCAATGTATCATGTTCAAATTAATAAATAAATAAATAAATAAATAAATATATAGTGTAAATTGCCTAGGCTAACCCAAAAAATTCCAGGCAGTGCTATACAATGCTTGTAGATATAAGGCATAATAAGCATGACTGGCAAGTAATACGCATTTTCACCTGATCAGGAATCAGGCGTGATGACTGCATCGTGTGTAATACCTGTTGGTTTTCGTGCTGCTTTCTGAGGCAGAGACAAGCAGACGAGAAGACAGACACACACAGGCAAATAGACAGAAAGACACACACACACAGGCAGATAGACAGAAAGACACACACACAGGCAGACAGAAAGACACACACAGGCAGACAGAAAAACACACACACACACACACACACACACACACACACACACACACACACACACACACACACACACACACACACACACACACACTGCAAGAAGGCGTTTGACACAGTTCCACACAAGAGATTAGTGTAAAAACTGGAGGACCAAGCAGGGATAGCAGGGAAGGCACTACAATGGATCAAGGAATACTTGTCAGGAAGACAGCAGTGAGTCATGGTACGTGGCAAGGTGTCAGAGTGGGCCCCTGTGACCAGCGGGGTCCCACAGGGGTCAGTCCTAGGACCAGTGCTGTTTCTGGTATTTGTGAACGACATGACGGAAGGAATAGACTCCGAAGTGTCCCTGTTTGCAGATGACGTGACGTTGATGAGAAGAATTCATTCGATTGAAGACCAGGCAGAACTACAAAGAGATCTGGACAGGCTGCAGACCTGGTCCAGCAATTGGCTCCTGGAGTTCAACCCCACCAAGTGCAAAGTCATGAAGATTGAGGATGGGCAAAGAAGACCGCAGACGGAGTACAGTCTAGGGGGCCAGAGACTACAAACCTCACTCAAGGAAAAAGATCTTGGGGTGATTATAACACCAGGCACATCTCCTGAGGCGCACATCAACCAAATAATGGCTGCAGCATATGGGCGCCTAGCAAACCTCAGAACAGCATTCTGACATCTCAATAAGGAATCGTTCAGGATTCTGTACACCGTGTACGTTAGGCCCATATTGGAGTATGCGGCACCAGTTTGGAACCCACACCTAGCCAAGCACGTAAAGAAACTAGAGATAGTGAAAAGGTTTGCAACAAGACTAGTTCCAGAGCTAAGAGGTATGTCCTATGAGGAAAGGTTAAGGGAAATCAACCTGACGACACTGGAGGACAGGAGAGATAGGGGGGGACATGATAACGACATACAAAATACTGAGAGGAATTGACAAGGTGAACAAAGACAGGATGTTCCAGAGATGGGACACAGCAACAAGGGGACACAGTTGGAAGTTGAAGACATAGATGAATCACAGGGATGTTAGGAAGTATTTCTTCAGCCACAGAGTAGTCAGGAAGTGGAATAGTTTGGGAAGCAATGTAGTGGAGGCAGGATCCATACATAGCTTTAAGCAGAGGTATGATAAAGCTCACGGTTCAGGGGGAGTGACCTAGTAGCAACCAGTGAAGAGGCGGGGCCAGGAGCTTGGACTCGACCCCTGCAACCTCAACTAGGTGAGTACGCACACACACACACACACACACACACACAGGCAGACAGAAAGATGGATAAGCAGAGCTATACAGACAGACAGACATATAGACAGACAGATAGATAGACAGACAAACATACATGTTTGTGTGTAACAGTGAAAACAAATAAAGCCAGGGTTCCCTGGAGCAGTGCATGATCATCAAGTGTCACTCCACTGCTGCAATACAAATAAATACAAATACAAATATTTATTTCATTGTAAAGCTTACAATGTGTGGTTTACATGTTATAAGATTTTAATTACAATGATGGCCACCATCGTGCCTAGGCACTTCGAGCAGACTAATACTAATTCTTACACTATTTTGATATAGGTCATATTTGAGCAGTACATCTGAACTTTTAAATAGGTACTTAATTAGATACATTCTCAGTTTGGTACAAACATAATTAGGTTTAAAATAGGTAGTCAAATCAGTTAACATTAGCACAAATGGCAGATTTAGTAATGGGACTCGATTTGTCTTGGCACGATACACTGTTTCTATTAAAGCCATACTGCAGGAGTATCTTAGAGAAACTTAGGATTAACTTAAGATTTAATAGGCAATATCTTTATTAGGAATTGTACATTTACAGTCCTTTGGGTGGGTGTAGGTGGAAATTATGGGGGAATTACAGATAATAATAAGTCTATATTGTTTTGATGTGTTCATGATACAAAAAAGAGAATTGGGTGGTTTTCACTTGGTTAGCTGATGATGCAGTGCATTAGGGAGACGAGATGTTTTTTAATGGTAGTTTTGAAAATGGTGGTCGAGTCTGCGGTTCTAGAGTTTTCAGGCAGGGAGTTCCAGATTCTAGGCCCTTTTATGTACATCAAACTTTTGTACAGGTTGGCCATCACTAATCCGGCAATCAGTCATTCGGTTCCATCAGTAATCCGGCACTAATTTCGGCTAGCATAATTTCATCATTACACTGATTCAATACACAAATAACCCACACATAAAAGAGAGAAGCTTACGACAACGTTTCAGGTCCGACTTGGACCATTTACAAAGTCGGACCGAAACGTCGTCGTAAGCTTCTCTCTTTTATGTGCGGGTTATTTGTGTATCATTCCAGTCACGGTATTGTGCCTTTTTTTTTTGTTACACTGATTCAAATCATTATATTGACTCAAATTTCATCATAATACTAACTCAAAATTGTGCAGATACTGTAGTTGTAAATCCACAGCAGCAAGGCAGTAGAGGAGAAAGCAGTTATGAAAATGAGGAAGATGTAGCAGATAATCTCTATTGATAGGTTAATTATGTGTATTCTAACCTAACCACCCCATAATCCGGCACACTACAGGTCCCAATAATGCCGGATTAGTGATGGCCGACCTGTATAGGTTTAGCCAGACATGGGGAATGTCATACAGATTTTTGAGTCTGGTGTCAAGTCTATGGGTCCTGTTGCAACTATCAAGAAATTGTTTTAGTTCTGGGTTAAAATTACAGTTTGTGGTTCTGTAAATGTAGGTTGCACAATAGTAGGTGTGAATGTTCTGAACGGTGAGTAGGGGGTGAGTGGGGGTGTGTGCTGTCTTGCATTGGATTGCGTGATAATTCTTATTGCGGCTTTCTGTTGGGTTATTATCGGCTTTAGGTGAGTTGCTGCTGTCGATCCCCATGCACAAATAGCATAGGTGAGGTAGAGAGGTAGAGATAGATGATGAATAGTACAGTGTGAGCAGGGCTGATTGTGGTACGTAGTAACGTATACTGGAGAGGCTCCCAACTGTTATGGATACTTTTTTGTTTTTTGTTGGATATAGGTGTTGAATTTTAGGTTGCTGTCAAAGTGCAGGCCCAGGAATTTGCCCTCATTATGTTTAGCAATAGAAGTGTTGTCAATCACTACATTCAGCTGGGCAGCACCTGTTCTGTTCCCAAACAGAATGTAGAAAGCTTTGTCAGTATTAAGTGTAAGTTTATTAGCAGTCATCCAGGTTGATATTTTTACTAGTTCTTTGTTAACAAGTAATGTCAGCAGTTTAGTGACACTCATCTTAACATCATGCTTCAAGGAGCTTCATATGTACTCCAGCATGTCTTAAACATTGCTGAGACCTATAAATACTTTGTATATATTTCTAGACAATAGTAAATGACCAAGGGAGGTAAAAATGTTCACCTGTCAGTGTGTTTGTGACTATCTGAGTACTATTTCAGTACCTAATATTAGTGTCAGAACAAAGACTGGCTATGAAATCACAAGAACTACTATAAATTGTAATTATCAAACATAAAAATTATATAAATTAAAAGAAAAAAGAAAAAAAAAAAAAGGTATATCGGCAACACAGGACACAACAGGACTCGATGCTGCTGTCAGGTTAGCATCCAGAGCCAAATTTGCAAGCTTACATCTTGGTAAATACTGATCCTAAAAATTTTTTTCATTTGATAACGTGTAGAATAATGCCCTCTTCATTTAAAAAAAAAAAAAAAATTCAAAATATTTAGAGCACTGGGTGAGTGAACACAGAACTATGTTTGGACAGTTTAAGGGTTAAAGGATACTGAAAAACAGAAAAACAAGATTTCTTAACATCTACAAGAACCAGAGGCTACATCCTAAAACTTTGAAAAATGCAATGCAAGGGGATACTAGAGCAGTAGTAGTAATACAGTGTAACCATAGGAAACTAAGAAAATTATATGATAAATTAAACACTGAAGATGGAACACCATTATAGCTCTGCTCCTGTAACCAATATACAGTATCAGAGTACAGCATACAGATGTAATGTACTTGATAAAATTATCAGTACCTCTCTCATAAAAGAAAGATCTCTCTGGAGAAAGTATGCATGCTGCTGAAGGTCATGTTGCCGACACAGTGCCAAAGCATGTTCATGGGGCCGCCACTTATGTTGCTCTGTTAAGGTATCATGAGTTGCACTTAACTGATCAGCCAACCAAGGTTCAATACGGGAAAATATGGAATGTGTATGCTTGAGCTCCTCTCGCCGGGAACGTTCACCCTCCTCGTATATTCTCTCTACTTCATCTAGTGCCCTGTAAACATGGAAAAGAATTAGAGCTTTGACTTATAATAAACCAAATACCAAAATAAAACAATAAAATAAAGTCATTACAAAAATGTTTTGTTGATATTCAGTAGTAAAGTTCGACTTACGGCCATTTCGACTTACGACCGGTTTCTCGGAACTGGTAGGTGTACTTGCTTAACATTCTTATTTATCAGTCAAGAAAGAGTTTCATCATGTATGCCCTGAAAATGTTATTTTTTCAAGATTAAGTTGTCTACTAATCAAACACTGCCGCACATTACAATACTCAAAATTCCCAAGGGAAGGTTTAAAAAATGCTAAAGGGAAAAAAACATGATGGAACTCCAGTTTTCATTCCGTTCCAAAAGGGTTTGGGTCGAAACCCCGAAATGGACGAAAACCAAAGTAATTTTTCCCATAAAAAAAAATTTAAATCCCAATTAACCTTTTCCCAGACACCCAAAAATATTAAAAAAAAATTTACTTTTTAAAAAGAAATAACTACAGTTTTGTTTTTAGGTAAGACACATATGCAACAGTTGGGTATCTTTTTTTCGAAATTTTTCGCCTCAAGTGGCTTCTTCATCGGTACAGAAAAGTAGATAGAAGCAAAATACTTGAGACGATGTAATCATCCATCACCCTTAAAGTTTTGGGTGTCAGTCCCTCAGTCTGGAGAAGAGCATTGTTCCCTTGTCTGAAACAATATGAAGTTAAGTGACATACGAAAAAAAAGAAAAAAATAAAAGACTAATTTTTTAAAGAAAAAAATGAACATTTTAAAACACTTTACCTTCATGAAGGCTATTGGGGTTTTGGAAAAACAAATCCCTTCTTCCCCAGGCTTTCTTTAAATTGTTTATCTCACTCAAAAAATTTTTTTTATTTTTCTGCAAAAATTTTTGACAGTGCCTCCCCACTCTATCATCGCTTTCCCTTTGCACTCCTCCCCCCTTTTCACTTCTATACTTTTCTTTTCTCCTGTAACTCTACTCTTTTAAAAACACTTTGGTTTGTAAAAACCTCTCATAAGCTACCTTTTTTTTTTTATCACACCCTTTACTTCTCATTCTACCCGTCACTCCCCCTTTTTCCTGACTCACCCCCCCCCATACCAAAAACTCTGCCCACATTCTAAAATTGATTTTTAAAAATCTCCCCAAACCCCCCTTCAACCCCCCCCCCCCCCTACTCTAATTGCCTACCCCCCCTTTTTGCCCAAAATTGTTTTACCATCTCCCCCAAAATTCCCCCTCCCCTTTTTATTACTTTACCTCTTTCTTACTTTGTTGCCATTTTTCCCTTTTTTCCCATCTATCTCTACTTAACTGTAGTGCAACTAATAATATCCCAAAATTCCATTGCCCCTCTATAAACATTACATCCTGAAGCCTACCCCTCAACCTTTTTCCACCAATACATAATTTAACAAACTACAGTACTTTCATTACGTGCTATATCATACCTATTATCATATCATATCATACTTATTTATCCTCTTTTTCATAAAGTATGTACATGTATTACTTATTACCAAACCTTTTTCTACACATAGCTCAATTAAAGGCTCCCCATTTTCATTTACCCCTGGCACCCCAAATTTACCTACTACTCCTTCCACAACATTTTTACCCACTTTAGCATTGAGATCCCTACCACAAGTACTCTTTCATTTGGTTCAAAACTCCTCATGCACTCACTCAACATTTCCCAAAATCTACTCTCTTCCATGGGGAAGTGGAACAGAATTCTTCCTCCTTAAGTCATGCGTGTCATAAGAGGCAACTAAAATGCCAGGAGCAAGGGGCTAGTAACCCCTTCTCCTGTATATATTACTAAAAGGAGAAACTTTCATTTATCCTTTTGGGCCACCCCACCTCAGTGGGATATGGTCGGTGTGTTCAAAGAAATAAAGATATACAGTGGATCCTCATTTTTTGTAATTAATCCATTCCAGAGAGTGTGACTAATGGTGAAATTGACGATTTGCGAAACCATTTTCCCCATAAGAAATAATGTAAATCCAATTAATCCATTTCAGACGAAAAGTATTAACAAAAAAATATTTTTTTTTACATGAAATATAGACTTACATACACAGAAAACAATGAGACATGAAGAATAAAACAATAATAACATCACACTTACCTTTATTGAAGACTCTTGTTGGTGCATGAATAAAATATGTCATTACATATGTTAGGAATTGTGGAGGCGGCAGGGGAGTGTATTTGGAGGCAGGCCAAGATAGTCCTTCAATATGACACTAGTATCAACTCTACAGCTTATTTATCCATCACAATTCATCTAATATGACATAATAAACAATATTAATAACATAGAAACATGACATATACTCTAGAATGAATAAATACACAATGTCATTACATATGTCACGAGTGGTGATGTGCTTTGTTGTTGGGTGTATAAGGGCCACTGAAAGCATAAGCCTTGCATAGTGGTGGTGAAGGCCAGCAGAGGCGGTGTTCTCAGTAGCCCTATACAACTCCAACAACATTGGAGGAGTTAGGTTCGTGCTGTCCTTTTTCTATCGATTAATCGCTTAACTTACTTGCTACACTGTTAATGCTACACTTTATCACTGGCTGGTGCTATAGTCTTTATTGACTCGTGCTGCTTTAGTATCATACATATCATAGAATCACTGAAGAAGGTACATTCTCCCCTCTCTCTTCCTCCTCCACTTTGGTACTTTGCTACGAGTTCTTTCTTGAATTCTATTGCGTTTCTCACCTTCTTTACCCAAGGCCTAGAGCTTTCTTTGGAGCCAAGGCGGCTTATTTAGCAGTTGCAAGCACTAAAACAAATGGAATATTATGAAATGTATCGTATGAACGCATGGGATCGTCCACACTCGCTGATAAACAAAGGCACACTGGCTGTGAATGGAGTGTGGGGCCACTCGGGGCCGTGAGTACACATCTGGGATGAACAACTATCTGCGAGTCAAATGACAATTCAAGAGTCAATATTTTGACAAAAAAAGTTACAATTTTCGAAAATTAAGACTTCCAATGCTTACAAAAAACGAGGGTCCACTATATATATATATTTTTCTTTCAACAAACCAGCCATTTCTCACCGAGGCGGGGTGGCCCAATTACTATTAGACATATGGTAAATATCTTTCTAGATATATACAATACTATTGGAAATAAGGCTGCACTATGTATTTTCTTATTTTTATTGTAAAACATAAAACACATGATACAGCATTTAAAAAAAATCAGTCATTAACCCTTTCAGGGTCCATCCCGTAGATCTACGGCTTCACGTTGAGTGTCCAAACCGTAGATCTACGCCAAAATTCTAGCGCCGTCAAATTTAGCACGAAAGCGCTCATAGGCCTACAAGTGAGAGAACGGGTCTGCGTGGTGACTGTGCGCCATAAACAAAAAATCTAGGCGCCCGCATAGCATTGTGGGAACGCCGGCTCAGTTACCCTTGTTCACCATGCCTCGTCGCAAGTCAGCTCTCACTCCCCGGAAAATTGGGACTCTCCTCTTCCTATCTGATAGTTCTGACACTGATGGAAGTGGAAATGAAGACGAATTCTATGGCTTTGATCAGTTAGTGACCGAAAGGAATGACCAGAATATTGATAATAGTGCAGAAAACCCTGACAATCCTCAACCTTTACCTCTGGTGTGGGCACTCGTGACTATGGTCGGTTGTGCCTCAACGCAAGAGAAACTAATATTTTCGCATGGCTAGGCCTCTGACTTCAGAAAATGATTGATGATAGTGACGTGGTTTGTGATTTTATTTCCCGCTTGACGATCATTCGAGTAGTGATAGTGAGGAATCATATTCCCCATGAAGCGTCGGTATGTTCGCCGCCGCATGCGCTCGGGTAGTGTACCCTATGCTGTGCCCAGGGGATGGAGTACATCCCGGAGTACATCCCGTAGCCCTACACCAGGTTTAGATAGTGATAGCGAGGATGATGTGGCTACACTTGGCATGGATAGACCACAGGCATCAGTAGATGGTGGTAGTGGTGATGGTAGTGGCACGGCCATGCGTGACTCACCAGCCCAGGCTGGGACCCACGGTGCTGACTCGTCAGTTTAAGGACAAAGTGGAGTGTCAGCCACCAGCCCACCACAACCACAACCACCTGCAAAACCAGCCTATGATGTCCAGTATCCACCAGCAAACCGTATCTGGGATTGGCAGCAAAATCCCAATTTTGTTCCCAAGCCCCACCACTTTGATGACTCTCAAAGTGGAATTCTACCTACTTGTCCCCTTGGAACCATGGCCAATGAACTGGAATTCTTTGAATTATTCTTTGACCAGCCATTGATGGAAACTATTGCCAGGGAAAGTAATAAGTATTTTGAGTACACCATTGCAAATACGATCATATCACCACAGTCAAGACTACACAGGTGGAAAGAGACGACTGTTGCAGAAATGTATTTGCTTTTTGCAACAATAATGCTTATGCCTGTCAAGACTACACAGGTGGAAAGAGACGACTGTTGCAGAAATGTATTTGCTTTTTGCAACAATAATGCTTATGCCTGTCAAGACTACACAGGTGGAAAGAGACGACTGTTGCAGAAATGTATTTGCTTTTTGCAACAATAATGCTTATGCCTCATGTCTATAAGCATAATATAAAAGCATACTGGTCCACAGATCAGCTAATTTCTACCCCGGTCTTCAGTGAAATCATCCCAGTGAACAGGTTTATCTTACTGTTACGTATGTTGCACTTCTCTGACAAAACCAGGCCTGACAGAAGTGACAGGTTATACAAGATTAGAAATGTTTTCATGTATCTCAAACAAAAGTTCAGCATATACTTTTATCCATTCAAGAATCTTGTAATTGACGAGTTTTTGATTTTGTTCAAAGGTAGACTGTCATTCAAGTAGTATATACCGAGCAAGGGAAACGCTTTGGTATAAAATGTTTGTACTCTGTGACCCGGACAGTGGTCTGGTGTTGGATACTGTTGTTTTACATGGGAAGTAAAACATTGAAAGATACCAAGATGTTATTGGGTATCTCAGGTGACATAGTGAGGGAAAAATGATGGCACCTTATCTTGGTAAGGGGCATACATTATATACCGATAACTGGTACACAAGCCCATTACTCAGTGATTTCATGCGAGTGAACAAGACAGATGTGTGTGGCACAGTGCGTTCTAATCGTAAACATATGCCAGGTCAATGCAGGTGCTCGTGGTGATGACGTGCAGGTGTTTTTTTACTGCCAATGACATCCATGGCATTACGGTGGCATGACAAACGAGATGTCACATTGTTGACAACCATTCCCCCGTAATGAAATGCAAGACAGTGGCAAAGTTGATCGAGTGACAATGAACGTATTCGAAAACCAGTGACAGTGATTGATTATACACAAAAACATGCGCTTGGTTGACAAATTTTGACATGCAGATTGGTTTTGTTGATTGTGTTCGTAAGAGTTACAAGTGGTACATGAAACTTTTCTTCCATCTCATGGACATTTCAATGCTCAATGCATATAATATGTACCAAATAAAAACTGGCAACAGACCACCGTATGGTGAATTTTGTTTTGTCTTTGTCAGACAACTCATAATGAAGTACCAGGTAAGGACACCTACTATACAACAAGGTCCTCGAATTCCTCAGGCTATACCCAAGCGTTTGAGGAGGGAAGGTGATCATTTTATAATACAGCTTCCTTAATCAAGAAGAAATTTGCTCAGAAGAGATGCATCGTCTGTGCACAAACAAAACGACGGCAACAAAGACGCAAAGACACTTAGTTTATGTGTGAGGAATGTAAGGTGCCTCTGTGCATGGTGCCTTGTTTCAAGGAGTTCCACAAGCTCCAGCAGTTCTAAAACCATGTCCGGTGATTGTAAATATGTAAATATATGATAGAACATTAGTATTATACAAGATTTGTACATGTTTATTGTAATAAACAACAGTGGTAAACGATATGATAATAACTTAAGTGCGGTTATTGTGTTCAATACATTGAATTTATATATGTACATTATATACAGTATTGGTCTCTCAGGCCCCAAATGTTAGTAGGAAAAGAAAAAAATTGAAAAGAAAAGAAAAACTATAAAAACCGCTAAATAAAGTAATGCGCGTATGTGGAATTCGTCGATGTTGCCGCCACCACATCATTTTGGACAAACTTCTTGGCACTGTATCTCGGTAAGTACTGATCAGAAATTTTTTTTTTGTCTTATTACCTTCACAAAAATATGCTCTTTAATTCTGTAAGAAAAAATAATTTTTTTTTTTTTTCAAAATTTCTTGGACACTGGAGCACCACTTCAGATTTTGGCCTTGGACCCTGAAGGGGTTAAAAAAAACTATTACAGTACTATACTAAATTTTTCTCGCAAAAAGTATGTTAGCAAGACAAGTTTTGTGAGAAGCACATAATATGCACAGCATTTTGGCCATATTTAAACAATACAAAATACAGTGGACCCCCCTCATAACGATCACCTCCCAATGCGACCAATTATGTAAGTGTATTTATGTAAGTGCGTTTGTACGTGTATGTTTGGGGGTCTGAAATGGACTAATCTACTTCACAATATTCCTTATGGAAACAAATTCGGTCAGTACTGGCACCTGAACATACTTCTGGAATGAAAAAATATCGTTAACCGGGGGTCCACTGTAGTGGAATAAAAAGCAATACAGGTCCGCCATCACAAATCCGGCAATCAGACATCTGGTTCCATCAGTTATTCGGCACTAATTTTGGCTAATATAATTTCAAATTTCCAGGGTCGCCACATCAACTTGCTGGTATTGTTTAGTGGCACTACTCGCCGCATAAGTCATTCCAATTTCTTTTTCTCCATTTATTCTTATAACCTGCTTACTTTTAGCCCAAGCCATGATTCCAACGAATAAAAGAAATGCTTCTCATTGTGTAAGGCACACACACAGCACATTGTCCATAAAAGATAAGATGGCTCTGAAGCCACTGTCGGTTGCCACGAGCTCAGTCTTGTGATGCAAGGGAATATGCTTTATTATTACACTAATATCAACACTACAGCTTATTTGCCTATCACAATTGATCTAATTTTTTTTTTCAACAAACCAGCCGTATCCCACCAAGGCAGAGTGGCCCAAAAAGAAAAATGAAAGTTTCTCTTTTTAAATTTAGTAATTTATAGGGGAGAAGGGGTTACTAGTCCCTTGCTCCCGGCATTTTAGTCGCCTCTTACAATATGCATGGCTTACGGAAGAAGAATTCTGTTCCACTTCCCCATGGAGAAATTGATCTAATATGACATAATATGCAATATAAATAACACAAAAATATGTTAAATACTTCAGAATGAATAATATTTGGCATAATACCGAGCAGTTTGACGTAGGTATGAAGAGGATATAGGATACAAGTACCATTCTCCTATCCCTGTCTTGGGGGCTTATATTAGAGAAAATGGAGTGTAGCACAGCTAACTGTGATATACACTCGTAGTGCACCATAAAACTGAAACAAAAAACTATTTACTCTACACAGATTATCATACATAGCAGCATATGCATAGAGAACCTAGGATAACCCAGAAAAGTCAAAGTAACTTATTTCTAGTACCTGGCTTGGACGTGCCATATATGCTTTTTGGTAAATAATTATTTTTCTCAGTTGTTTGTTGGGCTGTCTTATTGAAACGTGGGCAATGTATGATGGAAAGATGCTTCTTAACGTACACCAAAAAAAATCGGACCATAAATAACGGAGTTCACTTCTCAGCCATTAGCCGCCTCTTAGTGATATATTTTCGTATGGTTTTTATGGTTGTATTCTTGTTTTTTTGGTCTCATTTGATAGAATGGAAGATATATTACAGAAATAGATATGATTTTGATTGGTTTCACGAAAAAAGTACCTTGAAATTGAGCTCAAAGTAGCGGAAATGTTCGATTTTTGCCGATGTTCAATGAACTTTCTTGTGTAAGTAAAGCTGGGTAACTGTATTAAATGTATTCTAACCTAACCACTCTAAACCAGCAAACTCAGTAATCTGAAACACTACAGGTCCCAATGATGCCGGATTTGTGATGGCGAACCTGTAATAATGATTCAATAAAAGTTGAAGATAATTAATATATCTAAAATCTGGAGCAAAAAGAGTATAGTGGTGTGAATAATAGGTTTTGAATGTTGCAGCAAGGAGGAGAATAGAGGGAATGGAAATGTCATTTTTGAGTGCAATGTGTGGTGTGAATATTATGCAGAGAATTCGGAGTATGGAGATTAGGGTTATATGAACTGTGATGTTGGTGCCTTTCTGGCAAGACAGTGATTGGATGAGTGACAATGAAAGTGTTTTCTTCTTTGTCAGGTCACTCTACCTCAGTAGGAGACAGCTAGTGTATTAAAAAATTAAAGAAAGCTAAGCGAGCCATGATGTAATTAATTAAGACAGTAGTAAAAATAAATTGATAGCAATTAAAAAAATGACTGTTCAGGAAATTTGTTGTAGGAATTTACATAGACCTCACAAAATGGTAAAAGCACAATTCCAAACGAACCACGGAACACGTGGGGTTTGAACCCATGGCAAGCGAGTCCTAAAATTCACAAGTCAACGTGCTGAGGCAGCTTTGAGGGTATTTGAGCCAGAGTTTGCCACAGCCACGCTGGTGTGGGATTCATCTGTAAAGACCTGCATTTGTGGTCACAGTGGGGTCCATGCTAACTTCCTCATAGTGTACAGAAATACTATATCTAGTGGGATGAATCTTATTAGAGCCAGATGGCCCAGTGGTTAACACACTGGCCTGTGAGTTTTAGAACTAGTAACTTGCATGCTTTCAAATCCACACCCATTCCCTGATTTGGATTAATTTACATAGACATATATGACTGGGCTATTTAAACACACCATGTGGTACTTGGTTAAGCTGTACTTGGAACTTTTTTTTTTTTTTTTTTTTTTTACACTTCAGCCGTCTCCCACCAAGGCAGGGTGACCCAAAAGAAAGAAAAACCCAAAAAGAAAGAAAAAACTTTCATTATCAGTCAACACTCATACATAATCACTGTTTAGATAACCACTTCAAACTGCCAATATCCCAAACCCCTCCTTTAAAGTGCAGGAACTGTACTTCCCATTTCCAGGACTCAAGTCCGGCTATAAGTTTTTAATTCATCTGATATGTTATTCCATCTGATATGTTATTCCACTTCTTTGGCCCTTTAATTTGAATAGAATTTCAGTAGCTGTTCAAATTAGCACCTGTGATATCAAAGAAGTATTTGTTGCTAGTGTGATGCCTGTGTTTTATGTTACAATTTTCCAGGAATTTCTTTGATTAGCATCATCATTACAGTGTAGTGTTCTAAAATGTGGAGTGAACAGTAAGCATGAATGGCTTTTATAATTGGGACTTGAATAAGGGCACCAGTGTGTTGCTTATAATTAGAGTTTGTGATGATTTTGACAGCTGCCTTTTGTTAGGTAATGAGTGGTACAGGGTGAGTTGCTTAAGTGAATCCCCAGGCAAAAATCCCATGTGTGAGGTATGAGTAAATTAAGAAATAAGTAACATATTAGCAGCAATGATTGCAGAACATAACAGCATAATTTAGAGAGTATCCATAGAGTCTCTGACACTTGTTGATATATGTTAAACACGAGCATTAAATTTCAATTTGTTGTCCTTAATCATCAATTATACACCTTAAAACTGGAAAGTAAACACCTAGGTATATCTCTAGAGCAAATTAATGTAATAAATAAACACATGTGAGAAGACTGAAATACCTGTGCATAAGTAAAACTGCTTTAGCATGATTGATTAGTAGTAATGGAACGGAGGGACCAAGTTCCTGGAGGCCTGGGTGTGCCAGGATTACAGTATATACACGACCCAAATATTCCTCTTGTACTAGACGATTCCCTTCCTGTAAAATATAAGTTAACAAGTAACAAGCGAGTACATTTAGTTGCAGCATTATTACCGTATATATTTATGCATGTACAGTACAGAAAATTCTCAATTTAACAAATTTTAATTTAACTCTTTCAATGTTGGTCCAGTTACATCATGGCTTTGAAGCTAGTGTCGGTCCCACAGTATGATGCCTAAGCTTACTCAGATAAGCTGTGAGCAGTAAATTTGGTCCTAGATATGAGAGAATGGGTCTATGCAGTAAGTGTGCACCATAAAAAAAAAAGACTGTGCTTTTGGTTTAAAACATCGAATTTGCAATGTATTTTTGTATGGTTTTTATGGTTGTATTTTCGGTTTCTTGGTCTCATCTAACAGAATGGAAGATATATACAAAAATAATGATGATGTTGATTAATTTTGTGACTGAAAGTAGCTTGAAATTGAGCTTAAAGTAGTGGAAATGTTCGATTTTTGCCAATATTCCAGAGTACACAAATGATATCACTTGTCCAGTACGTGTCCAACTGACCAGTCTAATATGCATTTAGGAATGCACTGACATTATTTATACAACTACTACAATAATGCAGTAGTCTGCATAAAAGTAAATTTTCTATTTTTTGTGTAAATAATTATTCAAAATGAAAAGTAAGCGTAATACAAGAAGGGCTTGGAGACATGACTAAGGAGCTGAGGATATGTTTATTTAGTGCCAGGAATGTCTGCACTGTTCATTTCTGGACCCTATTTTCAAACTGGCAATTGGTGAATTTTGTGTGAAACTGGCCAAATTACTGATCTCTGATCACTTTACTGGGTAGTCAAAATATGTAAATGGGCAGTTTCTTGTACTCAGTTGATAGAATAGAAGGAATATTAGCAAAATAGCTATGAGTTTGGTTGGCTGTAACAATGGAACTGACCAAAAAAAAGAGCATAAAGTGGGTAAAATTGTCAATGCGTACATATCGTCAAGGCCGCTAACTCTGCGAGAGCATAATTTCGTAGGCCTTCCATCAAATTTCATACTTTTGGTTTCATTACCTTTGGAAAAAGATTCTCTATCATTCCATAAGATAATTTTTTTCTTTTTTTTTTTTAAATTCTTCAACCTTGAGAGCAAGTTTACAAGCAGGGGTCACGACAATGAAAGAGTTAATAGACTTGGGAAATTGGCGACAAAATCTGCTGGGTCCACTGATTCAGAATCAATGAACAAAGTGCATTGGTTAACGTAATAATCTCATCTCTATATACCCCCTATTAGTTAGTTAAATTAAGGATTTGCTGTGTGAGTGTAATTATCTGTGTGTATTTAAAGAAGAGATCTATGCTTATGTTCCCCTTTGTCTTTACTTTATGATAAGATATTTTTTAAATTTCCACTTTTTGATGAGCATGCTCCTACTGAGATTTTGCAATCACATGATTGAAGTCAGCTCATTTATACTTGTCAGTCACACTGTACATCCATCTGTCATGATAAACATGTAATAAATTTCTATGATCTCAAAAATTCTTCAAATACATGTACTGTGTTTGAAACTATCAAGTGAAGTTAGCCATCTTGAGGGATGAACATTAGAGATATCTACAGAGGCTTTAGGTAGAAGGCTGGAGGAACAATGTGAACCTGTGGCCAGCTGGCCTGTTCCACAAGGTTATTAAATGTGACAATGTAATCCTCAACTATTAACAGACTTGTAATTAGTTTATCAGAGCATGTATTGTAGAGGCACATCATTCATATGCTCTGTCATGTGAATGATGTGTAAGTATTGTATGTACTCTGTATTTATTTTACTTTTGTATCTTTTTTATGCCTAGCTGTATCGAGCACTTTAGACACATTTGACATTGACAAAACATTCTTTTTCACTCGCCAGTGATTTTCACTTATCAGCAGGGGTTGGGAATCTAACAGCCACAAAAAAAGAGGGCTCTCCTGTATTTGTTAATCATAGTGGCTTGGTGTCCAATATGGGGAGTCAGCAACCCATGACATCACAAGTAAAACCTCAATACTCTCTCTCACAACCTATCCCAGTTCTCTACTACTCTGTAAGTAGAATCATTCAAATGCCATCTACTACTTTGAGTAGTTGTACTTCCTCTAATTTCTTTGGCACTGCTTTGTTGCATGCAATTATATATCTTTAGCTACAGGAGTACATCTATAATCTTGATGTCCCATTCTTTATATCTGTTTAAAATTCCAATACAGAAATTTTGGCACACCCAAAGTCTTTTTTAATTTATTCTAGGCACATATCACTATTTAAAATGAAGTACAGTACTTTGTTCTCTTCTGAATCATTTTTTTTTTTTTTGAACAATGACCTCATCTGTGAGATTACCTGATTGTAATTACTGCACCCTCAGTAGCAGAGCTAGACTCACAGCAAACTGTGATAAGTATTTAGTTTAACATACACATTAAGTTTCCTTTAGTTGTAGCACACACTATCTCATACTGGATCTCATTACAACAATCTATCATTCAACAATATTTGTGAAAAATATCTGTCAATGTCTTTTCTACAACACTTTTTCCATCATCTGAAATTATGGCCTAGCTTTCTGTTGACGGTGTCAATAAACATTCCTTATTTATTTTCTCGCACATATTCTTTCATGAATCTCCATGGGGAAGTGGAACAGAATTCTTCCTCCGTAAGCCATGCGTGTCATAAGAGGCGACTAAAAATGCCGGCAGTAAGGGGCTAGTAACCCCTTCTCCTGTATATATATTACTAAATTTAAAAGGAAAAACTTTTGTTTTTCCTCTTGGGCCACCGTGCCTTGGTGAGCTACGGCTGGTTTGTTGAAAGAAAATTCTTTCATCAACTCACAAATGTTTATCTTATGTATATAATGCATGGGGTCATTTAAACGGGGAATTTGGGTAATTATCCCAGATATCTAAGTATTCTGGGGGTAAATTTTTTGTGTGCCCCCCACAAACATTTTGATGACAGAAAATTTATTTTATTTGGGGAACCCATGTTGGGTATTTTACTGTGTCATGTCAGTCTTTTTTAGTTTTCTTTTATGAAGAAGTTTTAAAATTTTCTTTTTTTCTTTTTGGATCCCTAATGGTTTTTAACCCTTTTTTCCTTTACGTTGTCTGGTAAAGGGTATTTTAGTTTAAGTGTGTGTTTCCCTATAGTTCATTGCCTTTTATAAAATAGATGATTTTTAACCCAGAGGATTTTCCTTAGTATAAATTTTTTAACTCTAAATTTTTTAATGTTTTCTTCTGAGATTTAACATTGATTTGTTTTCATTTAAAAAAAGTCATTAAGTAAGCAATATTATAAAAACTTTTTTCCAGCCCTAAAAATCGAAAAGCAAAAAAATTTTTTGTGAACAGTAACACTAAACCCCTGGAGTAAAAATATGATGTAAATTTTTTTTTTAAAAGGTTTATTATGCATACAATGTCTTTTTTTCATTATATGGCACTATTATAAAAAAAATGTAAAAATTAAATACATCAAATTTTCATGCCGGTTTACTAAAAGATAATCTGCAATTAAAAATGCTACAATCTTGATGCAACAAATGCAAGAAAGTGAGACAAAAAATGAAATGACAGATTCATAAGGTTTTTTCTTAATAATGTTCCAATACACCTATTTTACAAATAATAAAATTTAAAATGGAAACAATTTAAAAATTATTTGTAAGATCATGCAAAACCTTGCAAACAAAGGGGTTTCCTTGTTTTAAAAAAACATAATAAGTCACCCTTTTTAACCCCATAAACCTAAATTTTTTGCCTTGAGATCTGCAAAAAACTTTCTCTCTGAAGTCAGGGAAAGCCCCCCAGTTCTTTTTCAGTATACCAAAAAGCATGGTAATGCTTTTTTATAATTCCCCAAAAAAAAGCGTGTAAATAATACAATATTTTTAAAAAAAAAAAGTAAATTTGATAAACTTGTATTAATGAGTATACATGAACCCCCCATCCCTGACCCTTTTAATTGGTAAAATCTACCCTTTAAATTTATAGTCTCTTGTGACTTGAAATCGCGTTGTCTTTTTTCAACTGTCATCTTTTGTCATTAAAGTGTGATGTTTCCCCTTTTTAAAACCTTGCTTTGGATTTAATTAATTTTATGTAGTGTTGCTGTTAATCCAGTGTTTGTCCCGGTGCACTTACAGCTTTTCCATGTTCTCTTGGCTTTATTTCTCTTAATTTTAATTACCCATGTGGGGCTATGTGGTTGGTTTGGGTGTGGATTACTTTATTCTTTTTTGGGTTGGATCTAACATCTTGGCTGTTTTGTTTTCAATCAGTTTTTTTTTTGAATTTTAGTAATTTATTGGCTGTACATAAAACATTTTTTGGGAATTGTATACAACAAAAATTTTGTTGGTGTATTGATGGGGAAGCTGGGGTCATCATTTACATTCCATGGGTTTAACCCCTTGCTGTTTCGGTCATATATTTAAAGTCTTACGAACCCCCGTGTTTGAGTAAATTTTTCATAAAAATTTTGCGGCTTCAAATCAAGAGGGGGGAAAATGGTAGGGCCCCCATGTAGAGAATGGGTCTGTGTGGTCAGTGTGCCCAAAGTAAAAAAAATCCCGAGCAGCAGTGCTAAAAAAAAAAAAAAACTCCGAGTTTTTTTTAATTAAAAATGCCCCTTTTTGGTTATTTTTTTTATAGTATTTATGGTTTTTTTTAGTTTTCTTGGTTCAATTGTGATGGAAAACTATTTTAGAATAGAGGGGATTTTTATTGGTTTTACTAGAAAAAAAACCTTGAAAGGAGCTCAAATAGGGGGAAATGTTTGATTTTTTTCCAATGTTCAAAGTAAACAAATTTGCCTTTTTTAACAAATGTCCAAATGCCATTTAATATGCAACATGAATGGGTTGACATTATTTGTACAATTATTACAATATTGCAGTAGTCTGCATAACAGTAAATCTTCTATTTTTTGTTTGAATAAAAATTCAAAATAGAAAGCAAGAGTAATATCAGAGAGGCCTGTAGACATGACTGATGAACAAAGAAAATGTTATTTTAGAGCCAGGAATGTCTGCATTGTTCATTCTGGATCCTATTTTGAAATAGTAACATTTTTTAATTTTTGTGAAATTGGCCAAATTGCAAATTTCAGACCACATTATTGGGTAGTTGAAATTGGTAAATGGGCAGTTTCTTGTACTCAATCGATAGAAAAAATGGAGTTCTAAAGAAATAGCTATGAGTTTGGTCAACTGGAACAATGGAATTAGTCGAAAATAGGGCTCAAAGTGGGCGAAACTGCCGATTTGTAAATATTGCAGATTACCTGGAGATTACCTGGAGAGAGTTCCGGGGGTCAACGCCCCCGCGGCCCGGTCTGTGACCAGGCCTCCTTAGGTCAGTGTCCCAGGATGCGACCCACACCAGTCGACTAACACCCAGGTACCCATTTTACTGATGGGGAACATAGACAACAGGTGGAAAGAAACACGTCCAATGTTTCTACTCTGGCTGGGAATCGAACCCAGGCCCTCACCGTGTGAAGCGAGAGCGTTAACCACCAGGCCACCAGAGGTCGCTAACTTTGCGAGAGCGTAATTCCGTCAGTTTTCCATCAAATTTCGTTCTTTTGGTGTCATTACAATCGGGAAAAGATTCTTTATCATTTCATAAGATTTTTTTTTTTTTTTTTTTTTTAAATTTTTGCAACACCAGGAGACACCTCAGGATTGGGGTTGCGACAGTCAAGGGGTTAAAGAGCAGCTAAATTCTTCAATAACATTGTGTGTACATGATCAACTCTGCCTTGGAATTGCATAAAGATTCTTCAGAGAAACATTATTTCACACTACCATAAAAACTTATTCTTGTGCCCTAAAAATAGGTCAGTTTACTCACCCCAAAATTTATGTATGTGTACCTGTTAAAGAGCCGGAGATCCAGCTCCAGGCCCTGGGGAGTAGTGAAGATATATGGTACTGGTGGCTGTTTCTCATCTGTCAGCTGAAATTTCTCTCTTGTGGCACGCTTTATCTGCTGAACCATCCACGAGCATAGGCCTTCTACATCACCATCCTATAACATTACAAGAGTAACATGGTTAGTTTTCAAAATTACTCAATTACACTTTCACTATATTTTATGATGCTGTAATGCCAAGTAGTCTACTTGCTTAAATATATGACTGTATAACAGATGCATCACCAACATTATTCATAACATGAGAAACAATTAAAAAGTTAGTGGACTCAAGGATTTCTAATCACAAGAATTTAGAGTTGACATAATGGAATAGCATGAATTTTCATTATCAGTCAACACTTTCACCATCACTCATACATAATCACTGTTTTTGCAGAGGCGCCCAGATATGATAGTTTAGTCACTCCAAGCTGCCAATATCCCAAATCCCTCCTTTAAAGTGCAGGCACTGTACTTCCCATTTCCAGGACTCACACTCCAACAGCTTGTCAGGTCCCAAAAAACCATTCGTCTCCATTCACTCCTATCTAACACGATGACGCATGCTTGCTAGAAATCCAAGCCCCTTGCTCACAAAACCTCCTTTACCCCCTCCCTCCAACTTTTACGAGAATGACCCCTACCCCGCCTTCCTTCCCCTACAGATTTATATGCTCTCCATGTCATTCTACTTTATTCCATTCTCTCTAAAAGACCAAACCACCTCAACAACCCCTTTTCAGCCCTCTAAATACTTTTAGTAACTCCACACCTCCTCCTAATTTACCCACACTTCGAATTCTCTGCATAATATTTACACCACGCATTGCCCTTAGACAAGACATCTCCACTGCCTCCAGCTACCTCCTTGCTGCAGCATTTACAACCCAAGCATCATACCCATATAAGTGTGTTGGTACCACTATACTTTCGTACATTCCCTTCTTTGCCTCCATGGATAATGTTTTTTGTCTTCACAGATACCTCAACGTACCACTCATCTTTTTTGCTTCGTCAATTCTATGGTTAACCTCATCCTTCATAAACCAATCCACTGACAAGTCAACTCCCAAATACTGTGGTACCCCGAGTTTTGTACAGCTCCTAACTCGAACAATTATGTAAGTGTATTATTGTAAGTGCTTTTGAAAGTGTATTTTTGGGGGTCTGAAATGGACTAATCTAACTTACATTATTCCTTATGGGAACAAATTCGTTCAGTAACGGCACTCGAACAGCCTTCTCCAACGAATTTAAAGTGACACCGCAAACGATTACTCGAAATGCGGACCAATTTTGTTAAGTGTATTTATGTAAGTGCGTGTGTACATTATATGTTTGGGGGTGTCTGAAATGGTAAATGCTTAATCTACTTCACAATATTCCTTTATGGGAACAAATTCGCGTCAGTACTGGCACCTGAACTTCTATGAGTGATCTTCTGGAGTGAAAAAAATATCGTTAACGGGGGTCCACTGTATGGGCCGAAACTCGGGGGGTACCACTGCCCACTCTCCCTTTCTTACATGAACATTCATTTCTTCATTTCCTTCTCGCCAATGTGATTGCAATTTTTCTTTATTTAATATCATTTGATTACCCTCATCACCTTATGTTATCTATTAGTCACTCTCCAACTTTCTACTTTTACAACACCCCCCATATTACCATCCTTAACCTTTGTAACTTTTCTTTAGGATTCTCCTAAAGCACAGTTTCAACAGCAAATGTAACTGTGTATACTCCCATTTTGTATTTGATTCCCAAAATTTAATCCCACCCCTCTCCCCCTAATACTCTTGGAATGTACTTCTTCTACAACCCCATCTATAATATTTTAGTATTTTTTACAACATGGTTACATTACACATCCCTGTATAAGATCTACTTTTACAGGAAGCTGTCTTCCTCTCTCCTACACACCCTAACCTGAGCCTTCTTATCCTCATTAAACCATTTTACAGCATTTAGTTACTACTACCTATTCCATACACTTGCGACTTCTGCACATTGCTCCCCTATCCACTCTATCATATTTTATTTTTTTTCAATCTTGACGGTTCATCTTGCTCCCTAGAGTGGGGTGATCCCAATAAATGAAAGAAAATCCCAAAAAGAAAATACTTTCTTCATAATTCAAACACTTTCACCACACTCACACATTATCTAATGCTTTTGCTGAGGTGCCCAGAATACAAACTGTTTTAGAAGCCATATAAGTATAAAGTTACAATATACATATCCCTCCAATTGCCCATTATCCAAACCTATCCTTAAAGTGCAGGCATTGTAATTCCCTCATTTTCCATGGCTCCTAGTCCGACTATTGGATAAAATTTATACGGTTTCCATGAATACCTTCATTAAATTTTACCATGCGCACTCTCCAACAGATAGTCAGGTCCATAGTATCCATTCGTTCTCATTCACTCCTAATCATAACTCGCTCATGCACGCTTGCCGGAAGTCCATGCCCCTCGCCCACAAAACTCCTTTACCCCCTACCTTCAATCCCCCTTTCGAGGACGACCCTACCCCTCTTTCCTTCCCCTATAGATTTATATGCTTTCCTGGTCATTTAGCTTTGATCCATTCCTCTCTTAAATGACTCAACACCTCAAACAACCCCTCTTCTGCCCTCTGATTATGCTTTTATTTACCCACACCTTCTCCTAATTTCCACACTCGTATTTTCTGCATAAATTTTCACCACACATTGCCCTTAGACAGGACATCATCCACTGGCTCCAACCGATCTCTCGCCTGCTGCATTTCCACCCATAGCTTCTCATCCATATAAGAGTGTTGGTACTACTATACTTACATAAATTCCCACTATTTGCCTCCATAGATTAACGTTTTTTTGACTCCACATATACCTCAACGCACCACTCACCTTTTTTCCCTCATCAATTCTATGTTTTACCTCATCCTTCATAAATCCATCGCCGACAACGTCAACTCCCAGTATCTGATAACATTCACTTATTCCATTACTCCTCCTCCCCAATTTGATATCCATTTTTTCTTTATCTAAATCATTTGATACCCTCTTCACCTTATCTCTTTTCTATGGTCTCTTTAACCTTTCTACCTTTACCTCACATTCTCAAATCAATCACACTAAACCTTTGCAATTTTTCTTTTAGATATCTCCATAAGCACTGTATCATCAGCAAAAAAGTACTGTGGTCAATTCCCACATTTTGAAATTGATTCCCCATATCTTAAGCTACCCCTCTCCCGAACACCCTAGCATTTACTTCTTTTACATACCCCATCTATAAATATATTAAAACACCAGGTGACATTTATCATCATCCCTGTCTTTGACCTATCTTTTACCGGGAAGTATTCTCCCTCTCTTCTACCACTCCTAACCTGTGCCTCACTATCCTCATATACGCGCTTTACAGCATTTAGTAACTTACCACCTATTCCATAAACTTGAACATCTGCCACATTGCTCCTCTATCCACTCTATCATATGCCTTTTCTAAAATCCATAAATGCAATATAATTACTTACCTAACTTTATCTATTTTACTGATCACATATATGCTCAATGTAAACACTTGATCTACACATCCCTACACACTCTGAAGCCTCCTTGCTCATCCGCAATTCTACCATTCTGTCTTACCTCTAATGCTTTTAATGATAACCCCTACCGTATAACTTTTCCTGGTATACTCGGTAATACTTATTCCTTTTATTTTTTACAATCTTTTTGTCACCCTTCCTTTATATAAAGGGGGACAATACATGCTCTCGACCATCCCTAGGTACCGTCCCTCTTTCATTCCATTTATTGATTAAACAAAAGTACCAACCAACTCCAACATATATTCCCCCCCTGCTTGTAACATTTCTGTCATGTTCCCATCAGGTTCAGCTGCTTTACCCCCTTTCATTCTACGTAATGCCTCACGTACCTCCACCACACTTTATTTGCTCTTCTTCACTCCTACATGATGGTTATACCTCCCTGGCCCGTGCATGAATTACGCTCCCTTTCTTCCTCAACATTTATAAAGTTCCTCTAAATTTTCTCGCCATCATACCTTATTCTCCCTCTCCACATCTACTATCCCCTACTCTGTTTTTTAACTCTATTCATATGCCTTTTCTAAATCATAAAGCAGTGAAAACTTCCACACTTTATCTAAATACTGTTCACATACTTGCTTCTCTGTAAACACTTGATCTTCACATCCCCTACTTAAACTAATGCCTCCTTGCCTCATCTGCTATCCTGTCTCTGTCTTACCCTAATTCTTTACATAATAACCATACCGTTTACGTTTACTCCTGTATTACTCACGTAAACTATTTTTTTTTCAACTAAGTCGGCCATCTCCCTACCGAGTCGCTGTGTGACCCAAATAGAAAGAAAATCCCAAAAAGAAAATACTTTCATCATCATTTCAACACTTTCTCACCTCCACTCACACATATATCATGTTTTGCAGAGGTGCTCAGAACACAACAGTTAGAAGCATATATGTAATGAAAGATAACAACATATCCACCTCCAAACTGCTTTTATCCCAAAACCCCTCCTTCAGAGTGCAGGCATTGTACTTCCCATTTCCAGGACTCACAAGTCAGGCTTTATAACTGTGGTGATCGGTTTCTGAATCCCTTTCACTTATATTACCCTGCTCACTCTCCAACAGTTCGTCAGGGTCCAAATACCATTCGTCTCCATTCCACTCCTATCGAACAAGCTCATGCACACCTGCTGGAAGTCTCAAGCCCCTCGCCCACAAAACCTCCTTAACTCCTTCCTTAAACCTTTTGAGGTCGACCCCTACCCCATCCTTCCTTCTCTACAGATTTAAATGTCTTCCATGTCTCTACTTTGTTCCATTCTCTTAATATGACCAAAACCAACCTCAACAACCCCTCTTCAGCCCTCTGACTAATGCTTTTATTAACTCCACACCTTTTCCTAATTTCCACACTCCGAATTTTCTGCATAATATTTACACCACACATTGCCCTTAGACAGTAAACTTATTCCCCTATAATTTTTACAATCCCTTTTGTACCCCTTCCATTTATATTAAGGAAGTATACACACTCACTGTCAATCCCTAGGTACCTTCCCA